TAAAGCAAAATTCGTCGTTTACGATAATTAATAAGCGAAATCCTAAAACTAGGAAATTTACGCGGCTATATTAGTTAGAAAATTATTTCGCACCTTAATCGCGATTATAGCAAAATTCGATTTTAAATTAATATAATATAACGTAATAAACGCGTTTATATACGCTTTTATTAATTAAAATATATTTATAAAAATACTAAATAAATATCGAAAAAAAAACGTTATATTATTATTAAATAAAATATTTTATAAATTACGGATATTACCGTTATTATAATAAAAAAAGTTTATAAAAACTTTAGCCGAAATCGGTTATACCTAAATACTATATAAACCTTACGTATTTATTAAAAAAAAAATATTAATTTTTTTTTACGTTAATAATATAATTATCGCATATAAAAACAAAAATAAAAAAGCTATTAATTATTTAATATAATATTTTATAAAAAAATATAAAATCAGTAATAACGAGCTAATATAATAATTCTTTAAAATAAAAATAATTAGAAATCGTATATTTAAAATAATTTAGCTTTCCTAAAAGGCTTATTTTAAAAAAATCGCTAAGCTTATAAATAAAAAAAAAATTTATATAACGCTAATAAACTGCGAAAAACTTATACCTCGATTAATTATAGCGTTTCCTTACGAAATATAAAAATATTAAAAAAAAATCGGATTACTACTATTCGCGATTATATCTACGAAACTAAATATCGCATTCGTAATAGCCAAATTAGCTCGATTCCTTAATAATTTAAATTAAATATATTAAAAAGCTGCTAATCGAGCTCTAATCTATTTAATTAATACTAAAAAACTTTCGCTTAAAATCGGAAAATCTTTTAATTTAATAATTATTAATAACGCATTATTTGCCGATAATAGTATCGATTACAAAAATATTTAAATATTCGCTATAAAGTTATTCGGAAAATTAATTAATTAGCGATTAAATAAACAAAATATAATTATTATTTTTACCATAAAAGCTAAATTATTTGCCTTAGCGCAAACTACTAAAAAAACACTATTCGTTAGCCGATTATTAAAAAAACTATTAATATAACTAGATAATAGCACTATTACTATTAAATATAATAATAAATAAATTATTAATTTAATTAACGCCGAAATCGCGTTATTAAAAATAAAACTCCGTTATATAAATATTTATAATTATTAATTACGATAAAAAGCCTAAAAAAAAGGATTAAAGTTATTTACAAACTTTTAAATAAAATAATAATAAATAAATTAACGAAAAGCTTGCTAATAAGCAAATAGCAGAATTTTCTGCAATAAATAAAATTTAACGTTACTTATCGTAATTAAAACGAATAGCCCTAAAAAAAGCTATATTTTATTAATTAGCAACTTTAATTTAAATATAGCTAAATTTACGATAAATCGTAGATTTAAAAGGGTATATTAAATAGTAAATTATAATTCTTATATATTAAAATATGCTTAAGCATACGGATTAACCTTATAATATTTAAATAAATATACGGGACCTCCCGGGGATTAGCCGGGGCCACCCAAATAAGCGTACACCTTATTAAAACTAAAAGGCGTAGAACATAGATCAATATATCACACAATTAACACCCATACCAAACCAGTTTAAACTCTAATAGGAAAGCACCACCTTAATCAATAGTTTCGAAAAAACTCGTCCGCATTATTCCTTGTATAAAATCCAGTTTTCAAACTCTTATTCTTATAATTTTAAAAAAATTTACGTTAATTCGTAAGCATTACGATAAAGCCGCGCACCTTATAGCTTACGCGATAAAATAAATATATAAATACCTAAGTCGCGTGTAATTTTAGTTAATTTTTCACCGTTTTCGACCTTTTTAATTGCTTTTTTTATATCGCGTTCGTTTAATTTAGTTATTTTAAAAAAATAAAATTAATTAAATAAATAGCTATTAAAATATTATAAAAATATTATAATTAGGTTATATTATAAAATGGAAATAACACGTTGCAAAAGGGGGTGCATTGCAAAAGTGGGTTCAACTGGTTAGAGTAGTTTGCCAAGTTATGTGTGGTTTTGGCGGCGGGTATGCTATTGTGGTCACACATATATACAGATTAAGGTACATACATGGCGGCTTGAGGCTTGAGCAGCCAGCCCAAGATCCAGCGAGCGTTCCCCAGGCTGGACGTCTCCACCCACCACTCAGGGAAAAAAGCAGCCCGAACGAGTTTCGGAGACGTAGAGTGGCGGCGCTTCCCGACCAATCAATCCACCATTCCACCATACGGACCTGACAAGAACAGGGGTCTGCCAAGAGCTTTAGACCTTCTTTGCTTCTGCTTCTTGCCTTTTCTCCCTCTGGCTTATAATGGCTAGCTACCTACTACTCGCAATCCCTCCCTAGTCATGTAGCTCGTAGGCATGTCACCATTTTCAACTTGTGCTACGTCAGTATGAAGAAATACCCTCACTACGTGAACAACTAAGTTTAGAAGAAAAAAAATTCGCAAATGGCATACGTCAATAGTTTGCCTCATTCACTTCCGTCATGGTAAGTGCAAACGAGTGTGAGTAATGGGGAATACAGAATTCAGATACCGTATGACAAGGTAGGACAGAGATGGACAGGGGGCCCTTCCTCTCTCGATGTCCCTCTCTTTCGGCACTCAACTAGCGGCGCTAAGACCTTAAAGGCACATGCGCCTATGCTATTCCTTTACCTTCTTGGGCAAATGTCGCCCATGCACTGCATACCTACAGTTGGAACATGCCAACGTGCCGACCAACACACCAGCCGAGCCAGCCAGCAGTCCAGCAGCTCAGCCAAAAAGTCGGCGACTCCATTTTAACCGTCCCGAGGGTGAAAGAAAAACATGAAACACGTCCATCGATCCCACCCCCTAGTGCCCCCTATCCACGCATTGGCTCCAAAGACTACACCTGACACCCCTCATTGGCCACAGCTGCCCTTGTTCTGAAACAACCATCCGTGGGCTATAGGCAGCTTGTTAACTTTTTCATGGTTGGTTCTTGTGCTATCCTTTATTTTTCCTTCTCCTTTGTACAACCTGTTGTGGGATGGACCTCTCCCACATGCTTGCAATTTTCATCCGAATAATATCAGAGCTGTATAATAAAGCCGATAGGATGCAGCATTAGGCCGGCTGTGATCGATCGACTCTTATTTTGAAACGGAGAAACAAACATCACGGATCCCCCGCCATCCATGAGACGATCGGTAACTACAGGATTTGGTGACCACACTACACTATTACACATTACTACTACATTCTACTACAGTCAACACTACCGAGACTACCTACTTCCATGCAAGCAAATACACTACCGGATCAGCTTCCGACGAGACCATTTTGACTAGTCCATGGAGCTCGAATGCATGGACTAATGGATCAGAGACATTCGCTGGAAAGAATGTCGTATCATCAATCTGCCTGTCACTGCCCTTCACCTAGGTTCACCAGGAGTCAAAGTCTTGACTGTAGCCAGCATCAACAGTCACATCTCTGATCCCCTTCATTTATTGAGAGTCTAGACCAACGACATGACGATGCTTGGTAATTCTTGTTGAAAGAGAAAACTTCATCTCTTCTGACGGCTTCCAGCTTTTTCGATTTCTCGCATTGCCTCCACGTTGATATACGATTAATACGAGGTCTCTCACAACCTTCCTAACTCATTCAGCCATGGACCCACGTCATTAACCTTGCAGTACAAGACGACTTCTTCTCTGAAGAATCCCTAAATAATAGCACAATGGCAAATACTACGTAGTAGCCAGTCCGGTGCCCATCCTTGCAAGGTTGTGATCAAGAACACGACTCGCTCGCTTGCCTGACTGACTGACATCCCACTTCGCATCCCAAAGATCCACTTCGGCTCCAAACCCGGGGGACCAGCTATCTTGACAGCAAGAAGAGCATAGAGGCTCAGCTCTGCAGGGTTTCCTTGTGGGGTTGATTTATTGCGTCCTCCAACATGTCACGATTGGCAAGGCATATTTGTGTTTCTCCCCTTTTCTTGAAAGAGAAACTTCAATGTTGTGCATGCAAACGTTACTGCTTGGAAAAGGAAGGAAAACATCCCTCATCACCCCTCATCACCACCAACGAACAAGCAGATGAAAGAAGCAAACCATGGTCAACGGGCAGACAAGTCCTTCACGAATATGTGATTGTGATAGTGCCAATCTAATAACTAACATGGCCAGTCACTTTTCTTGGTCCTTCAGGTGAACTATCATCTGGTACATTAGCACCTGTATTCAATCAACCACGTCTTGGCATATGCGCTTGGCATGAGTAATATTCCGACGAACACACGCTAGGTGACATTATACTTGAGAATATGTCGTCCTAGGTGACATTGACGAGTGTCAGCTTCTAGACTCATCCATCACCACTACCATACTCTCTTTATTCCATCCTCGCTACTTCCACCTCACTCGCCGAAAATCTTGGTTGGTCTGCACAAAACAAGATCACATGGTGACCACATCGCCGACACCTGCTGCTGCTCATCTGTAACCTCAATAGCTAGACGCAAACACTAGGTCGAAGCGACTCCTTCGTCACCTCTTCACTTTGACTCTTCATGTGTCGGCCATCCTCGGAATTGTATCCCCACTCCTGGCTGTGGAATGTCATCACCAGTGGCCTTGCTTCGGCCGACCGTTGACTTTACCCTCTCCTACGTCGCCATTTTTCAATCACTCACTCCAACCTCCAGTCAGATACCACGCTAGAGACATTTGAGAAGAATGTTCAATGCGCATCCTTTCCAAATCTCTGCCCATCTAGCCTGTTCATGCTCAGGAACATGCAAGGATTTCCAGATCGCCATAATAGTGGCTAATATCTTGCTAATGTTCTTGCCGCCCGGCAATAATGCTATCTGCGAAGGATGCTGATATGTAATAATGAATCGAGTGATGGAATGGGAACGGCGTAGCGCGGCGCCGACTTTTAGTTGCCATTCATGCATCAGTCACTCACTTGGCCTCATCAGTGCCCTCGGGAGTGCGTCCGTGGGGCCCTGAAGGGACTGGGTGACCAGCTTGCGGCTGTTGGTGTTGATTGTGTCCCTGAAAGTTCTTGTTGTTAAAGTTGTTACTTCCATTTCGATGCTGCTGGGAGTATTGATGAATTTGTTGAGGACTGGATCCGTATTGCTGATAACCCGGATTACTGAAGCCTCTCATGTTGTTCACTGGGAAATAGGTGTCAGTTATAGGGTGAACGCCTCGTTTGGTAGTTTGAGTTCCTACTTTGACTTTGTTGTGGGAACACTGGCTGTCCATATTGCATGCCAGGACTCATTCCGTAGATGGGTTGTCCCGATTGGGAACCTTGCGGCACCATCATTGTGGCGGCAGGTCGACCAGGGCTCGGATAGCCGTTAGCTCCAGGCATAGGCTGAGGCGGGACGGCACCGGGAGGCATGAACGGCGGAGCACCGTACATCTGCATCTGTCCGCCCGGCATACCCTGGGCAGTCACGAACTGAGGCTGCATCATGACGGGTGTTCCCATTGGCACTCCTTGGGGAGGCATGTATCCCGGATTGTTCGAAAAGCTCCGGGGGTTGTAGCCCATTTGCTGAGGGTTTCCGGTCATGAACGGCATACCGTTTTGGGCATAAGGCACCTGACCCTGAGCATTCATGTTGGGAGGGTATGCTGCTGAGACCGGCCCGACACGTGGCGAGGAGTAGGACTGCGATGAGTTAGAGTGCATCATTCTATGGTCATCCGCTCCGTTGAAGGGCCCGTGAGCCATTGGGCCATGCTGTCCTGGGTGGATTGGAACCGGTGGGACGTGAGGTGAAACGCGAGGTCCAACATTGTGAGCGCCTTGTTGCAAGTGGAACGGCAACTGGTGCTGGTGGGCCATTTGCGGCATAACATGCGAAGGGTTAGGTGTTGGGTGTGTGGCGAACGGTTGTCGTTCAAAATACTCCGTGTAAGACAAACGCATTGTTGAGTCCGGCTTCTCATCGTCCTGAGCCTGGCGCCAGGCAGGTGCAGTATCATAAGGTGGCTTGTAACCGTCATTGTCGGCCCAGTTCTTTCCCTCCGGCTTCTTCTGGCCCTTGAGGTGGGACAAGATGTTGCACTTCTTCGCGTTCGGGGCTGTCTTCTTTCTGGTAATGAAAGTGACAACGCCCGCATGATTAGATGCAGCGTTAGGATCAACGTTGTTCAAAGCCGACTTGGGACTTGATCCTGCACTAGGATGGCCGTTGGGACTGAAAGCCGCAGCAAATGGACTAGGTCTAAATTCGTGGCTGTTGGGGTTCAGCTTGTTCATATGACCTGGCATTGGTCCTCGTCGGCCGAATGACGGATCGACATTAGCAGGACCAGTGGGCGGCTGGCGCATATCTCCACCCATCTTCTGGTTGTTCTGGATACGGGCAGCCAACCCTTGAGATTGGCGTCCACCAGCTGGTCCCATGTGCGAGGCTCCGTTTCTATAGGGCGGATATGGCTGAGGGACATAGCTTGAGCGGGCACCAGGGTGCCGAGCTGCAGCTGCAGCAGGCTGTGAAGACGACGGAGCACCACTAGCACGTGTACGATCATTTTGAGGAGCCTGAGAAGATGTGCCGGCCTGGCCATCTTTGGGGGTCGGGACTTGCTTCTTCTGCGATGCAGCCTTGTCCTCTTCCTTTTGCCGCTGGCACTCTGCAGCATCTCTTGCGGCCTTCTCCTGAATGGCCTTCTGCTTGGCAGGATCCTTAGCGATGATACCAATAAGATCGACGGGTACAGGCGTGGGTAGCTTGAAACTGGAAGCAAACTTCTTCAGCTCCGTCAACTTCACCTCCTTGTCGGCTCGAGCCTTAGAGCTTCTAACTTTTTCGGCATTGTGTCGCTGTTGGTTGGCGAAGGCCTTGAATGACACCAAGACATCGCGTTCTACCGTCTCAGTTGCATTCGGAGCAGGTGCTGCATCCTTGTTCTGAGGAGACATGGTTCGAGCTGACGTAGTAGATGGCTTTGATGGTGCAGCAGCTTGGGGTGCAGCCTTGGTATCAGCCGTCTTCTGAGAAGTTTCAGCAGCCGCTTCAGACTTGGGCTCTACAGGCTTGGCTGCAGGTGCAGCTGGTGTAGCAGTCTCGGCTGGTGCAGCACGAGTCTTGAGATCATCTGCTGGCTTAGCAACAGTTTGCGGCTTGTGGGATTTCAGTTGCGAAGAGATAATCGCGGGATCAAATGGAGCGCCCTTCACGGTTGCCGAGCCCGTTGGAGCTCTGCGCGCTGGTGGAGTGTACTTATTCTCTCTGCCGCCCGGCAAAGGAGGAAAGTCGTTCTGCTGTTGACGTTTGACGCCGCTGTATCTAAAGAAGCGAACTTTTGTCAGCGGGCAATGCACATGTACGGAGTTATTAGACACTACTTACTTGTCTTCTTCATCACCGCCATTATCTCCGCCGACGAAGTCCATTACTCTCTCCTCTGCCACATGAGAGGTACTTGCAACGCTCGCCTCGATCTCCTTGGCCTTCTTGTCGGCAATGGCCATTCTTTCTTTATATTTGGGATTGCTCTTGTCGATTCGAGTAGTGTACATATTCTCATCGTAGTCAGTCTTGAGGCCGAAGAGCCGTTCGTTAGTCTCGAATTGGTTCCAGGAACCACCACTAGACTTCTCGAGACTATGATCAACGTTTGATGATGGGGTGTCGGGTTGCCATCTTTGCAGAACGCGCTGTTCGCCAGCACGGTTGCCAGAAATGGCTGTGTCAGTGCGGAAATTGCCTGGACATGTCAGTATTAGTATTCGGAGATGAAACACATTGAAATGTCAAGGTTCGCTTGAGGCTTACCATTCTGGCTCTTTCCATCCGCCTTTCCTGCCATTGTGTCTCTCTTCTGATAGTGCGGCAAGCTTGGAGAGTCTTTTCTGTTCGTGCCGTTGGAACCAGTTCCGTTGGGAAGCGCGGTGGCCGTTTTCTTCGACGGCACCATCATCGGGCGAAGCTCGACAAGATGGCAGGGCGAGCCGACGTTTCGTCCAAACTCGCGAGAACTGGAAAATAGAGTTCGTGACCAAGTATGCCCTGGAAAACTCGAGGAATCAGTATCAATCGGATGAAGGGTAAATAAGTAGCTCGATTCTGCCGATCATGAGAGCCATTGGGCAATGCTGTGACGTTCAATGGAAGCTAGAGTGCCGCGGCCAACAAACCGGGAGCGCTACAAGAGCCAAGTCGAATGGAGAGGGGGGGAAGCCAGCAAGCTGAAAGTATGGAACTCGAAGCATTACTGCAACAACAACAAAGTCGCGGAAAAAAATGGGATGTGTCTAGCACAAAATAGAAAAGTAGGACTTACCGGACTGCGAAAAGTTGTCCACGTCCTGCCTGTCTCAAAGACGCAGATGACTGTCGTGTGTTTGACAGGTGGGAACTTTGGCTGGTGCGAACAAGTATTTCGAAAAGCAGCACGCTGTGGAGAGTGGCCTCGTTCGTCAGCACATGGAGAAAATAAGGCCAACGATGAGTGCGCTCAAGCGCGCAATGAACGTCTGAAGGATAGCAGCGGAAGGTGTGTTGCAAGTAGCTGCTACAAGGGATGGGGACGGTCAAGGAGGTGGAGGACGGGTGGGATTTCGATCAGGACCGGGCTGGCAAGTCGGCCGATTGAGAGGTAGCCGAGCTCAGACGAGAGATGGGAAGGTGCTGCTGGGTGAAGATGTGTTGTCGACACGACCAGCCCCGAGATAGAGAGGGAGAGGGCGAGTGAGCGGGAAGTTGTACGGAGGTAGGTAGTTCGAGGTAGGTGTAGTAGTAGTGCGATGTGTGCACTTGGATTAGTGTGAGGTGGAAGGTAGTCCGGAAAAAAGTGGTCTCCAGTTTGCACCTGGGGATTGGATTGGTCCTTGGGCGGACGGGGTCTGTCTTGGGACTGGGCAGACAGACGACAAGAGGTAGAGAGCAGGCAAGGTTGAGATGGGTATGGGAGAGAACGGACAGACCTCGTGCTATGTCTTTTTTGGGACGGTAAATGGGCAAGTGTCAACCAAACCCCGTCTCTGCAGTAAATCGCACTCGAGAGATGCGAGTACAAGGGTGGCCGCAGCTGGGAACAGCAGACACCAAAAGCCAATGTGCGAGACAGACAGCGGCCTCAACAATGGATGGATGACGAACGAGCGCTCCTGCGATCGAACAGTATGAATTAGTGTTTTGTGCTCCTAAAGTCCGTCCTCTTTCGCCTGGTGCGCGCCCACTATGATCACAGCGACTCAGCAAGCTTGCAGAGTCTCTGCTGACTCTCGGAGGGGGCTGCGATGGGGTCGGGATCCAGAATTGGCAGTTTTGGGGGAAGGGAAGGGGAGTTCGAGCCCGCTTCTTACGTTTCTGGTCTCTGGGATCTTGGGATGGATGCTAGAGCTAAGGTGGGCTGGTTGGGCTGGCCGCTACCTGTGGAACGGTCTCTTCAGTATGGAGGGCAGTAGGTCTCACCTCGGAAGTAAAAACGGCCCCTCGCCTTGGACTTGCGCCAGAATAAATAGTACCAGGTGCGCTGGGTCCAAAACCTTGTTCCCTTCTCTCTTAATCGTGGACTTTGGGGGGGGATTATTTTCTGTTCGAATGCAGATAGCTTGTGCATAACAAGATGCACAAGGTCCCTCTTCCGTCTGAATTTTCCTCTTGCCTTTCCAGAGTTGAAGAAAATGCTCGGAAACAGAGACCGAGGACACGACAAGGTCAGTCAATGTAGCTGATAGGGGGGTGGAGAGGGTGGGTTTTTTAGGGAGTGTAAATCGCAACTGAAGTTCGAGAATTGGTCTCGAAGAACAGGTAGGTACCTACTCGGTAAGGTAGCTTAAGGATTGAGGGTCCGCCGTGGTGCGGGATTGTGCTCTCCCTACATACCTTAGTCCTTGCTAGATGCACTGAACCATCCGGTAGCTACTCCGTACAGCCTACAGGTACTCTGCCTCAGGCACTATCCTGTTACAAACGATGGCCAGGTATTGTTGACAATTGCCCTTAGAGACCCTGTCCTGTCAAAGGCCTGGACTCAAAGGTGTGAAGATTTTGGGACAGGATTGGGGTTGGTCTTGAATCTGATCCTTGCCTTTAAAGTTGCCCACTATTGTTCAAATGTGCTGTTTCCTAGGCCGCCACGGATTGATACCGTACCTATTAGGTATTTGATTATTACAGCACATACTTCAGGCCCCTACCCGCGAAGCTCAAATGTAGACATGCACCAAACAATGAAGTGTTGATAGGCTTTCCAGGCTTGTTGCTAGGCCCAATCCGTCATGGTGTGCTGCTGCTGTCTGGGGTAGCGGGTGCGAACCATTGAGGATCACTGTGCCGCGACTTTGGGAACTCAACGAACCAATTCAAGAGGGCAATGCTCCCTCGACGAGATCCGCTCCTATCATATCTATAACTCGATTCAATGAGCTTTATACATTCTGGAGTATCGAGATTACAGAGAAATGGTTACTGCATATAAAGCTCTTGAGGGAAGTCTAGCAGCCTCGTCGGCTCGTTTATTCGTTCATAATCCTTTCACAACACTGGCAAAGTTGGATTTGTACCTACGTACTACCTGGATTACCTAGTAACGTCTGGACAACCCACATTAAAAGCCTAATGCCTAGTTACGAGAGGGACATCCGTTTGTGTAGAATAAATCTGTGCAACCCCGCTGTGAAAGCGGGTTACGTTCTTCGGTGAAGATGCTATGGTTCAATGTGCGCTGCGAGGATGATGTGATTGGATAAGCTCTTGCCCTCTTGCAGACATCATTCACATACTCTGACAAGACCTGCGGCTGTCCTACCGCCATCTGCGATAGCTCTAAGGGTAGGAAATTCCATGGCAGATGTGCCAGGTCCCCAATGGTACTCATTAGACGAAGTTGGACGGCAAACCTAATTGTAGACATCAAGGCCTTGTTCTTGTTCAAGGCAAGCTCGCCCATTTTCAATAGCTCTGGCAAGCTAACCTAAAATAATCATGTGTGCAAAACCGACAAAGGTTGTACACCTTCCTGAGCTCGGATCTATTCAGAATCTCATGATTTCATGGAGAAGACCGAGATTGGGAAGTATATTTGTTAGTGCTGCCAGCACTTGATGTACGATGCTGCGAATCCAGATAACTGAACTACATATATGAAGATGTATCTTACTGATTGAGGCCACGGCCATAAGAATTGTCCGCACTGTGCCAACAGCCCACCACCACAAATGCAATAAACCCAGCAATAAAGCTGGGAGCAAAAGGGACTTGCTGGACAGCACATTTGTACAACCTTTCACCAGCTCAGAGTGAAGCGCGGGCTAATCTCTGTCAGGGGAAATTTGTCTGGTATCAATGACAGTTGGGATCTATCTAATTATTTTGTGGTTCGGCCATGATGCATTCCATTGTGTCGGCAAGAGTCAAAGACTAACAATGCTTAATGAGTCTGCTCGAATCCGGCGTCGTTTGCAACTCTAAAAATGTATTTTGAAAGCTGTCAGTGTCAGTCAGTCAGCCCACTCCAGATCACCAAATGAGCAACCCACCAAACCGACCCTGATTTTCGGCTGTCACCTAAATGAGCCTAGCCTTCTGGGAGCTCCCGTCCCCTGCTCTTCTGGTTGAAACTCCCACTGTTGGAAGTTTACGGGTGCCTGAGTTGCAGGAAAAATTGGCTTTGAATTGTAGCACCTTTTTCATACTGGCGTTCCAACTTGACTTGTCGGCGTGCTGGCTCCGCAACTGTTCGTTTGAACAGCTTCATGACAAAACAGCACGCGACTGTCTATCAACTTCAAGAATGTTCTTGGCTTGTGGGTACTGTATCTGATCCTTGCCAGGCTCCACGATCCTTGATCGCCAGGGTCCTTGGAATGAGGTAGTACGGTACCTAGCACTATCAATCTGCTTCATGGCCGCAAGCGGCGTGATAGTAGTAGTAGTAGCATCCCTCCCCCAAGGACCCCACTGTCACATTTCAGGAAAACGACGTCCCTTTCTGTACCGCATCGGGGAATAATAACGATGCTAGCTATTCAGTTTATATACACAAAATAATATCTGTGCTTCTACCACAAATATAGCCAGCCTACCTGTCTAGGGACATATTCTAAGCAAATATAGTAGTCATGTTATTTCTGTTGGTCTGCGTACTGTCTATTAGTGGAAAGCCTCTCTGCAGGTGACCGGAATCCTAGCAACCTACCACACGAGCATGAGAACTGGTGCCCAACATGGTGTTCTAATTCGAGAGCGACAAGTTCATACGTGTCTGCGGAGCGAGAGTGAGGCTCAGCCTACAGCTCAATCCACACCTCCGCCCTCCATTGTCAGCCTGCATGTCATCTGTCGCCGAGGTTTCCGCCAAGACATGGAAGGAGATGGCAGTAGCATTTATTGGGCGGCCAGCTTGGGCGGGCGCACAAGTGCTTTGCAAGGCCGCCATAGCCAAGCAATTGTGCGCATCACACCGAAATTATTAGTTTCAAAGCCGACGCCTTGGAGATTTTGTGAATACCGGAACCTAATTCACGAATATCATTTGCAAAATTCGACGGAAAACTTGGGCTTTACTTGGAAATAAAAACCTTAGCAGTATTTCATTACGTGGTGCGTACATAGGTACACTACTCTGTACAGCCCTGCCCTGTTTGCAGGTGATCGGCAGCGGCTATCTGCGTGAAACCCCGGCCGTCACCTCCATTAGGAAACTGTGGAGCGCCTCGACCGGCACTTCGACTTCATACCGTAAACCCCGGAGAGGCGCTCGTCTCGTCTGTAATGATGCATCTTCTTTTCTTTTCTATTCTATATCATCCTAACGTAACGATCAGACTTGTTTGCCTGAAACATCTTGTTGTGGTGTTCTCAAGGACGGTGTAAAGATATTCTACGTCGAGGGCAGTAAACCTGGGTATGTCGTGCAATCTAAACGGCCACCATTATTATGAATTGTGAGTTTTTACATTGTTTTTATTTTGATAGATTCCCAAGCAGAAGAAGCCGACCAAATTTATCGTCTATTGAGTTTCCATGCCAGCTTATGCTTCAATATAAAGAGGATACAAATAACAAACATGCACATCTTGATATGGTTGCAGATATGCATTGGCAATCGAAATCACGCGGCTGCTTCCCAGTGTCATGTCCAAACGATATGGATGCATTTCTCTCGAACGAGGTCTATCAACGGTACAGACGTGTACAAAACGCCCTCTAATCAACTCCAAACTCCTGTGCTATCATCATGTAAGGCATTTTAGTCCAACCATCTGTGTCTAACCAAAAATACTCTCTTTCAGAGTCTTTGCCTTCCACCAGCCCTGAATAGCAACCGATAAGAGAGGGTGTGCAAACGAGGGTGTATCCATCGATGCGTGGGCCATGAGGACCTTTGGCATTACGTTTTGTACATCATCGCTGAAGAATTGCAACTTTAATAAGGTCTCAGTGAGTTGCTGAAATTTGTTCATGCGAGGAAACATCGCCTCTTCTGCCTCCTTCACCTCGGTATCTAGCGAAGAGCCCGTTTCTAGACTCTTTCGAATCGCGGCAGCTAGGCATCTCGCGTCGTCGAAACCAACATTGACTCCTTCTCCGGCAAAAGGCGTCATGACGTGAGCCGCGTCGCCAATCAGGGTCACGCCGGCTTTGTGTTCCCATTTGAAGTCTGGGGGCAGCATGTATAGACTCCTGGCTTCGACTCGGTCTCGGGCATAATGGACCGCCTCCTTGAGTCGGGGATCCCAATGTGCAATCTCCTGGAGTATGGCTTGCCGGACTGCCTCGAGATCGTGTACATTGTAGCCACACCAATCCTTTGAGTCCGGATCTTGCCAGCTCTCGGGCCGCACCGCGACGTAGGCAATGCGAAAGCTACCGTCACCCATCTGCTGGACCGAGAGCCTTTGGTGCGCTGCCGAAGCAAAAACGTTACCGCTATTGACGAGTTTGTCGAGGTTTGGCACGTTCGTCTTGGGGTCGGGGATGGTGAGGGATTGGTAAGAGACTCCAGCATAATATGGACGGACATCCGTGACGAACTGTCGAACTTTGCTCCAAGCACCTTCAGCGCCAACAATGAGGTCAAATCCCGCGGCTGCGCTGCCATCTCTGAATACCAGTCTCTGGTATTGACCATCAGATTCAACGCGGCTCACATGGCATCCCCATCTAATCATGCCCTCGGGCAAAGAAGCGGCAAGCATGGATCGAAGGTCTGAACGATCTATCTCTGGGCGCTCGTTGCCCTTTTTGTTCGGGCCGAAGGTGAAGAGGGTCTTGAGGTTCTCGTTGCAGAATAGATAGTAGTCTCCGTCATGGCGGGCATACTTGTTGAATTCTTCTTCTAGACGCGCATCCTTGATGGCGGCAAGGCCAGTTTCTGGATGAAGATCGAGTGAGCCGCCCTGAGATCGGAAGTTTGGCGAGCTTTCGGATTCATAAATGGTCAATGAGATGGAAGGTGCAGTGACGTGAAGGATTCGAGCCAGCATACAGCCTACCGGCCCAGCGCCAACAATTGCAATCTTGGTTGAAGCCATGTGAAATGATTCAGTATAATCTCAGTTGGTGAAGTTGATATGGACGGAAATGTGCTGGAATATATCGGCAATGACTAAGAGGGCCTCGATGGTCAATAAATACTCGAAAGCTGAACTACTTGCGGTATCTATATGACCTACGGGCTGAGATGCAACTCCTTGGTGAGATCTCAGCCCTGCTTACCTAGGAAGGAATATTCCCCGTTGTCCCCGCGAAGTTACCATAGTGAGAACCTGGGAAAGCCTTTATGAATGTTGCAACTAAGCACTAACCTAGACTATGCCGGCTGTACGAAACCGAATGCGAAGGGCAGAGCATGCATAGTACCACGACTCAACCATCAATGTTACAAGTGCAATCTCGTTGGCCAGTGCCAGTGATGCGAAGTCATTCAGTGACAGACACATACGTTACCTCATGCGGAGAGGCGGGCTTTTGGATTGTATCCGTGCCTCCCACATCCGTTGCGCCGGACTCGGGACTTGGCTCGGCGCTCAAGCCAGCGGTACTTGTAATAATGCCCGTTTCTAGTGTGCTCGCTATCGTATAAATATAGCTTGGGCCGCGCCAACGTACCTACCCATGTATTTAATGTCATATTAACTTGACAGCAGGCGTGAAAGCTGATGCTCTATACTGGTCAAAGATTCGTCTTTAAGAGTGCAGAGAACCGTTGCTTCTTGCCCCGGTTCAAGTTGAACCCGACAGTGCGCAATAAGTAGAATCCATAGCTGCCGGTCGCGAGACAAACCTGTTACATTTGTAACCATGAAGATGTGCTTGAGCTCAGAAGCCGAGTGAATATCAAATGGACTTCGTAGCAGCGTATGTCGTGTCACGTTGCAAGAATTTCATCGATCAGCAGTCGGATCTTTCCCAGCATATACTGGCCGGTCAGCAAGTACCTTGAGATCCCGTCCTACATACACCGAGTCATCGGGACACTCTTAAAGAGAGCTTGGAGAATGAAGCGGATGAGTGAGCGAATAATTCAGCAAAGAAGCACAACAAAAACTCAGAGTATCCGTCCGAAGCCAGCAACAGGATAATCATTGGTCATATTTGAATAGTTGGTAGGTTGGGCAGTTGGGGCTAGCAAGGGTGATGAACATTGTCGGGTTCAGTTCAGCCTGAACTGGATAGGATCAAACATGCCAAGATGGGTTGATGCACAGTAAGCTAGATGTCAGCAGGCTGGTTATTGGCGTAGGACATACATCTTGGCCAGTATGTGCCAGCATCCAAAGCACATATGGTCGCATTGAAAACAGATTCGAAACAATGTTTTAGGTAGGTATTTCTTTGGTGAGTAGAATAGTTGCCGCATTGGCAATTGAAACCATGCAATGTTGATGTTACCCTGGGGTTTTAGCGGCTGGAATGCACGTGCTTTTCTGGCCGCTTGGGGAGACAATTGCCAATAACCCTGGCCTGGGCCCGCCGTATGTTCTGTTTCTGGTGCTGGTCAAGCTAAACTTCGAGCCTGACTGTTCCTCTTTTGTGGTTCCGGCAATGTTTTTCATTGCAAGGTCCAGGGGGTCCATGGGGGGTCCGTTCACCCATTTTCCCCAGCGTTGCCCAGCGCCCAAGCCCTACCCAAAGGTACAGTTAGCAGCGAGTGATGCAGTACCTAGTAGGTATGTGAAGCCAGCAGGCTTGCCTGGCCGGCCATGTGGCTCACCAAATGACTAGAAGCAATTGCTGTTCTCGATTTGCAATTGCATGGAACAAGTGCTAGCAGGGCAGTGTCTTCTGGTGTCTCTCTCTTTTTTTTGGACCTCGTCGTCGGCTTGCTACGTCCCTCACCTTAGCCTAAGCTGCACCTGACTTCCAACTTCGAACGACATTATTCGTAATCTCTCATCTGGACAGATCCCACCGATCCCCATTCCGCTTTTCGCCTGTACCATTAGGACTTTGGGACCACGAATTCAATTTGGTCTTCTTTACAACACCTTCGCTCTGTCCTCACATCTAATAATCCGCGCGACGACACGATCCTTTTCCCGCTGTACATATGATAGGATAGATTGGGCCGCGACAGCTGTTGAAACATTCCAGGCGACCGAGGAAGATACCATCCGCGACGGATACAACAACGACATACATTATTGCAAAAGGAGACTGATCCACGCAAATAACTGGCAGCGAATATAAAATCGAGCCTCGAAATGCAGAACCCCAACGCAGCGCAACACAGGCTGCAGCGTCGCTCGCCCGGCATGGACCCCCCAGGCCCCCCTCCGCCCTCTGGTGTTCCGCAACGGCCAATGTCACCAGCAATGCAGCCACGGTCTTCTACTGCCTCGAGTAGAAGCGGTAGCTCTCGACGAAATGTGAGTGCCTTTGCCAACCTACCCATTCCATGCAGGGCCGCAATGCCATCTGGAACTGCAGAGCAAAGGCCTCGCGATGATGGATCCATCATCGCAGAGCTTGGTCTCCGACCAAGACGTAAGCACGAATGACTGACTCTTGTGTTGCAATAGCAATCCGGCGGCGGCTCGAATATGCCGCTGTCACAAATAGAAAAAAGTGTTACTCATCTGCTTGTCGCAACAAAGCAACTACTCGAGACATTGACGCAATGGTCACGCGGTGCGGCGACCGACACACAGGTGTCCGACGTCTACGTGAGGCTCGGTTACGAGTTTAATATGGCTTGTCGGGCATTTACAGCCATAAATGTTGATACCTCAGACCTCGGAAACGTCCCCGAGAACCTCAGGCACATCCTGGAATCAACACTGAGCCAAGAAGCAAGCACCGAGAGTTTGGAGAAATACCTGCCACGGATACGAGATATTATCATCAACCTTCTCCACGGCCTCAAGCGGAAACAGCAGAAACTACGGCAGAAACAAGCCAGAGATAAGGAAGGCGGCGCAGCTTCCCCTGATGACTCGAGCATGGTCAGTCGAACCATGAGCAGCAGTACCGCGGGTAGCTCTGGCACTGGCCTTACCACCTTGCTCAACGAAGGCTTGGACAATAATTACAACGGCGCTCGTGATAGTTCAGGATCTGGTCCATCAGTTTCAAATGGCTCTCCTGCACGCAAGATTCAGGCTAGGGAACAGACTCTGTCGTCAATATCTTCGGATCAGTCCTCGCTTTCGAGCACCACAATGCAGAACATACCAGTTCTGCCACCATATCCTGGAGACGAATCGACCATTCCTGCAGGCCCTCCGCCGCCGCAAATCGACATCGATGCGTTCCCGCCGCCGCCGCCTCCTCCAAAATCCCAGCAAAGCGCTCTCGCTGCCTTGCAGAGAGGAGGCGACCTGGAAAGAAGGGCGTCAAGGCGTTACTCTGCATACCAAATCTCAAAGCATCTTGGCGCGCCCACCAATGGCGTACCTATGTTACCTTCGCAAAATACTCCCATACCGAACCGAGGACGTGGCGAGATGCGCGAATCGCTCCGCGCTGTCCAGGTCCGAGAATCTATGAGACACAACCGGAGTGGCTCAAGTCAGTCAAAGACAACACTCGAGCCCCCCTCGGTGGAAATCCCGAGCACGGTCACCGAAGGTTCTTTCTCTTCAGGACAGGATAAATCCAGCCTTGAATCGCCCCAGACTTCATCTCCTGATGAAAGGTTCAGGCCGAGTGCGACAGTTTCTGGTCCGTTGGCAGATGATTTCCCCATCAGCCCCGAGTCTCCCGAAAAGACGAGACCGCCACCTATTGTTGAAGTTACTCAGGCCAAGCCTGAACAGGTGCAGTCCCCGGAGCGACCAAAGACCCCACCACAGCAACAGCAATCGACCAGTCTAATTGAACAGTCTCCAGCGCTTGATAAGGAGTTGACGCTCTTTCTACAATACAAATCTAAAGTCAAGAAGTTTGTTCTCCCAGAAGGCTACACAGGTCTTACAATCGGGAAGTTGCAGCTCGCTTTTATTGAAAAGTTTTCCTGGAATACAGCACTGAATGGCGCTGATTTGCCTGAAATCTACATTCAGGATCCAGTGTCCGGTGTTCGCCACGAACTGGAGGATCTATCAGACATCAAGGATCGAACGGTTCTTGCTCTGAATATCGAACCTCTGGATGAAGTAAAAAAGCATATTGACGAGGGTATTGGTGCTCTGAGAAAGGCTGTAGACGAAGTGAAACAGAATGTCGATGACCATGGGACGGCCCTGCAGAGAGTGTCGGATCGGCAATTGGAAACGGCCAAGGAGATGGCTCGCCTGGCAGCTGCGCCTCCAACGATTATAGAGAGCGCAAGTTCGAAAGCTACTGGACCTGGACCCAAGCTGAACCCGAACCAGCTCAGAGAACTGCAAAGTCTTCGCCGAGATTTGGCCGTTATGCGTCAGACGTACTCCAACTTCCAAACCGAAATCCAAAGCTCCATGTCTACACTGCGGAACAAGGCCAACAACGTCAAGGTCGCCGCAGCCAAGGCCTCTGTGCCCAGCTCGGATGATGGTTCTGGCCCCATCTATGTCAGTAAAGGTCGCAAGCAACTCAACACAGATTCAGATCGTCTTGTCACCAAGGTGGACGATCTGCAAGATCTTGTGGAGGATCTCCGGAAAGATGTGGTTCATCGCGGTGTCCGGCCCATGCCTCGCCAGCTCGAGGATGTGTCCAAGGATATTCAGACGCTTACCAATGAGCTGACCAAGGTCCGCGAGTATATGAAGCGGGAAAAGCCCATTTGGACCAAGATTTGGGAGAAGGAGCTGGAGGATGTGTGCCAGGGCCGAGATGAGCTCAAGGTTATGGAAGATCTCATGGTTGACCTGCAAGATGACCTTGAGAAGGCGTCTGAGACATTTGCTCTTGTCGAACAAGCGACCAAGGAACAGATGAAGGAAACCGCGCCTGCAGCACGTCAGCTCTCGAAGGGCCTACATAACCTTGGAAATACTGCCGACCCAAGCGCTGCAAAAGAAGGTGTCCTTGGTGAAGTGCGGGCACTCCAACCCAACCACGAAGATAGGCTTGAAGCAATCGAGAGAGCTGAGCGACTTCGCCAGAAAGAGCTTGAAAGCAGATCAGACAATCCGCTGAAGAAGGAGCTGGCCACATTTGTTGGAGAAGGCAAACTGAAGAAGAGTGGAGGCTTTGAGGAGGTGGAGCGCGCAAGAAAGGCCAAGGATGACAAAATCAGACGTGAGGTTTGGGAAAGAATGAATGGTATTGTGGCCGACGACGGAATGGGCGAAGGGGAAGAGGAGGAGGAGGAAGAAGGCGATATGTTTGATGAGGACGATATTGATGGTGACGGCGAAGTGGCGGAGGAAGTAGAGGATGATGTCGCAAGCGAGGCCGCGGGCGACGAGAAGGCCCCGGAGCACGAAACCTCTGTGTAAATTGGGTATGGTTGGGCGAGACTATCGGTCTGGGGAAAGGCTGCGCTTCAGATGGACTGATTGCGCAATACTAGTACTTTGCACTTGTTTCAACCGATTCTGACAGCTTTGAGCTGAATTCGGCTTGAGATTGAGGCTCTACTATTACCTCGGAGGTTGGGATTTTATTCTTATTTTGCTTCAAATCAGCGTTCTACCAACTGCATTGCGATCGATCCTATATCCATTCTGGCATTGGTTATGGCGTCTTGGCGTTACCTGCCCACTGATGAATTTATTGCCATTGAACATATCAATATTATTTCAATTTCGCTTGAACCATGCTACCAGTGCTCGTCTTGCTTGCTACTATCACCTCCCGTCCATGCAAGGCTTTCTGGCTCTCGCCTTACGCCTTCGGCATTTCTGCCTACAATATGCTTTGGTCCGTCTAGATTTCACTAGCAAATTGTGTTGGCTTTGAACCGTGATAAACCTTTCTGTTTGGAAAACATTTGACAAACAGTGATTGCCTTTTCATAGCTCCAGTAATTCGGGCCATTTATTACAAAGAAGATGAGAGTGCCGACGGTAAAGCGAGAGCTAGAAACCGATATCGGAAGGAGGTTAATACAAAGGCTGGAGAAAACGAACAGAGATATTTATCGCAAAAAGGTAGAGGTAGCACAGGCAGTCAAGGTCAGGGAGAGGGTCTTATGTAATTAGACTTCTTCGTCCCGGCCACCGAGGTTCGCAGCCTGATTGAGCTGACATACTGATATATGTTGATGCCGAATCTTAAGCATAACCTCACAGAAGCGTATGCTATGCATTCTGGCATGAACAAGGGCTTAAGTTTGAGTGTGCATAGAGGTACAGTGAATCACTTCAAGGCACTGTATCATCACAATTATAGCTCTTGTTGCTATAGTAGGAGCAGCAAGGCATTGGTTTAATCAAGTAAAAAAAGGCCAGAGTCGCACGGAATGCTTATTGATATGTTAAGTCTTCGGGGTGACTTGACCTTTCAGGACCGTGGGCACATGCGAAATATTCCTCTCAGAACAAGGTTTCCTTTGAAACCCCCGAGGACAGACGCCACAAGTGCATAGATGCCTGCTACATATGCTTCGCGACTCTCAGACTTCGAGGCTTCGAGGCCTCGGAGAAAAGAGAGAATACCGCGCAAACTTTGGTTATCACCAGACAGGAGAAAATTAATAGTTCGAAGTCAAATCTTTCTCCCATATTTAAGAAGAAAAGAAAAGAAAATCCCCCTTTGAATCCACATTGAAACCATCTACATATTTCCTCTTCTTTCTTCCTGATAGAAGTGTAACCACTGATCATTTACTTCCGTTCTGACAAATTAAGAAGTCCCGAGCGAACAAATACAGCGACGAAGTGACAACATGGAGATCAGACACCAGAATTGCCCAATCTTTGTTCCCAAGAAGAAGATCAAAAAGAACGTGGGACATGAGAGAGAATCGCAGGTCTCCTTCCCTTTCATGAAGCTGCCCGCAGAACTGCGGGACACGATCTGGCACTTTGCAGCTCAGCGCGGCCGTCTCGTAGGGGCCAAGTTCTGCAAAAGCAAAGGCCTGTTTGGCCTGGGCACGATGCACCGCTCGTGGAATACGCCGCCGGCCATTGCCCACGTGTGTTACCACTCGCGCTTCGTTGCCCTCCGGTATGGTGGCATGATTAGAACGCTCCATGGTGAACCGGTACCTTTTTACGACCCCGGAACCAGCTCTCCGCGCCCCGACCCCTACTCTGGGACCTCGCTGTGGCTGAATCGTGACGACATCTTGTTTGTCAATGGCACGAAGCGGTACTTTTTCCACGACCAGGACTTGGCGGAAACATTGAACTGTTACTGCCAAACCGAGGAAGTCTTGCTAGCCTATAACATCATGGACAGCTGTTGGGAGGATTGTGTAACGAACTTCTTCTCAGTGCTCGCGAGAAGCTCCAAACTGCACAAAACACACGTCAAAGTCGTCAATTGTAAGTATCTTTATGCTTTCTAGTTCATATAACCTATGATAACCAATTTTGACGGGATCTTTCGACTAATCATTGGTTCAATTTTATCTGCCCCAGTATTCATTCCCATAGATTGTCTACACTGGTTGATACAACGGGAGCTTACCCGGTCTCCGGAACTTGTTGACGAGCTATTCCGTGACAACGACGTCAGACTCATCGACTTGCGCAATGAGGCAGCCATGGCAGCCATGAACAAGCACACTCCGCTTACAAACAGTCTCGTCGACTACGCACGAAAGCAGTGGTTCAAAGCGAGCAAGACAGGAAACGGAACAAAGTACGAAGCGCTGGTCACTTCGCTGCGGACACAGTGGCTGAATATCAAGTGGTACCAAATGGAGGAGGAGGTGCGTTCCAGAATGAATGGATGGAACGGAATCAATTGCCTTACGGGACACGTTGACTCGGACTGGCTGACAAAAACAATAACGGAAATGCCAGAAATCCGCCCAGTGTTTGTCATTGCCAAGGACGACAGTTGGGATTGGCGACGGAGTGTCGAGAAGTCTAAGAAGGATAAGAAAAGGAAGATGACCCAGGCCCGCCTCAACATGACGAAAGCAAAGTGTCTCGTGAAACATTCATGAATTGCTCGGATTCATTTACCCTCGGATTTCTGGAACGCCATGTCAAGGTATCTTCTGCGCCGTGATGAGAAATGGGAGAGAGAGAATTGAAGCAGACCAATCATGGAGGAGACGCCCGCGGGAAAGGTGGTATTCAGCAAATGGGATATGCTTCTAGAACTGCACAAACTAATGTATAGGTCAGGACCTTTACCGTTTGAACATATTTATTGCCATGGAACATAAACGTTGTGGTTAATGTTAATATACTTCATTCTAGATATGACAATGTCTTCCGCTGTACGACAAGTATGTGTTGTATAAAATATAACCATAATTTGGAGATACTCGGGTATAATCATAGTTTAGCAGCAATTGGCCTTAGTCCGCTTTGGTCGCTGCTACGACACTAAATATATTAAAAGGGGAAAGCCGTTGGGATTAATGCTCCGGATTGGGGGCAAACAGGGCATAGCGTCTTGGCTATTTCACAGGGCGGAATCCGACAGGGTATCATCATGTCATAAAGATGCCAGTGATGCACAAACTGGAAGTCTTCCTTGCCTGTTTCGAGTCGAGTATATTTCCGATCCTTTTCGGTATCGATTGCGACGACATGTATAAACATTGATCCAGAACAACGATCAAGGATACATGACACCCACATGTTTCCACACTTTCCCGTGCTCCCGAATTTCCGTCTACACTATGGTGGCACAAGTGCAGGCACAATTTTTCTCTCGACCCTAGTCCCCTGAACAAGGTCGCCTTGGTCGAATCACGAAACCGCGATTCATGATGACTCCACTCGAAGTACCGAGCAGATGCCGCCCAGTGGCCAAGACCTTTGGGAGGCTTTTGAAGTTATTTTCGATTTATGAGATTGAGTTCCCCAGGCCGCTTCAAGTGTAACGACATCCGCTCTTCCTGCCAAACCCCTCAACGGTCATCGGCCTTTCATTATATGACACCAGGAAGTAAGGAGGCAAATCAACATCAAGCACATGGCGCACCAGAATGACGCCCTAAATTCGACTCTCCGCGATGAGGAGACGGTCAGCTCTCTGCTCAAGTCCAAGCGCAAGGCTCGGGCAGTGAAATCCTGCTTTCCATGCCGCCATCGTCGCGTGCGCTGTGATGGCGGATCGCCATGTTCCAGCTGTCTCGCCCGCGGCCATGCAGAACTCTGCCAGCGCCAAGCCGGGATCTCCGCAGCTGCTCCGGCCCAACCCTCGGCGCCGACAGAGAGTGCCGATGCCGATCGGGCTGGTCTGCTGCTGGGAGGAATCGGCAAGGAGCAGCAGCAGCAGGAGGAGGACCCGGATCTCGTAATCAAGCGGCTTGAGCAGATTGAGGAACAGATAAGTTCCATCAAAGCCGACCTCAAGCGCAAAGCGCAGAGTCAAGCCCAAGAGACGGCGGCCGCCCACAGGGACTCCGTACGAGGCCCAACAAAGGCAGCGGGTCAGCACTTTATCGAGCGCGACACGGGCGCCACCATCTTTCTTGGGAGCCATGCGGACCCGCCAACGGCATTGGGTCTGATGCCATTGTTCGGTCCAAGCTCAGCCTTTGATGGGTTGGCGCCGCGAACCTATGCCTTTGCCAACCTGTGGACGCCCGAGATTGACATTGAAGAGGTTTGCAAGACTTTACCCGAGGATCGCGATATAATACGGTGCGTGTCCATTTATTTGACCATACCCAAATGCATCAGGATGGAGATCAGGATGGAGATCAAGAGCGAGAGATAAACAAGCCAAGGCCATGTGTTGCATTGCTGACTCCATCTCACACGCTTCAGCTATTGGCAAATATACCAGGCCTGCGTATACCCCTATTATCCGGCGCTTGTGAGTTTAGATGAGTTCAGTGTATCGCTGTTCGCCTTTCTGGACTGCAACACCGAGGCACGCGCCAAGACAGTCTCGACATGGTTGGGGCTTCTCTTTGCACTTCTCGCCTGTGGTGCTCAGTTCTCCGACGACCCTGTTGAGGAGCGAGAGTTGAGGTCCAAAGTCTTTGGTGAGTATTGAAGAGACTAATCGATACAACGCGCTTGGCATGCAGCTACTTACAAATTTCCCTCTCTGCAGTCTGTTCTTCGTTTCAATGCCTGCGCATATCAAATCTTTTCAGCAACACCGACATGAACACGATCCAAGCCTTAGCGCTGATCGGCCATTGCCTACGTAATAATCTGGATACAAATACTGCGTGGATAGTCATGGGTAAGAAACAAGAATGGATCCTCGACTAGTTTGCACAAGTAATAATTCGCCGATCCATTCTAACGCTAATATAGGACTCACAATACGATTGGCGCAAAGCATAGGATTGCATGAAGAGGCCCGGAGTGCCGAGTCCCCAGGTCCAGCTGTCAAGAGGAAGCGTCTTTGGTAAGCCCACCCACTCACTTGTGAAATTCAACTCGAGATCCAAATGGATCTGGCCGCTGACCTGGAGGAAAGGTGGATGCTTTTATGGCAAGATGCCTTTTTGTCATTTACCTATGATCGCCCGCCAAGTACGAGTGTAGAAACCATTGCAATTCCGTACGAGTCCACAGAAGGGTACTCGTTTGCTGATGCAACCCTGACTGTGATTCAGATCATCTTGGATCGCTCGAGAGAAGAGTCAAGTCAACTGAACACGCAACCTCGGTTTGAACACTACACACATCGGCTCGCAGGAATCCAGGAAGACTCGGCCCCTTTTCTCAAAGACAAGGCCAATTGCAAGAGTCTCCAAGAGCACCTCGAGAGGCTGGCGCTGCAGATCCACGTCGGCTACGCTCGGTGCCGCATCTACCGTTTGTACCTGGAGAACAATAATCTGGACCCAGCCACCCGGGAGTCGCGGACGCTCGAGTACAGCGCCCACGCCGCCACCGTGGTGCAGAGCTTTCTTGACATGCACCGCCTGTCGGCCAATGCCTGCCGGGCCTCGGCCTTTATCCACAACGTGGTCAGCTCCGCCGTGGCGCTCAAGGACCTGATGAGCAGGAGTCGGCCGTCGAGTCCGGCCCCGGCCTGGGACGCCAACTTTGAGCAGTGCACCCAGCGCCTGATCAAGGTCCTCGAGAGGGAGCAGGAAAAGTCCGAGTGGACCGACTCGGATACCAATGTCCGCCGCTTTGGCCCTTACTCGAGAGCGCTGTTGGCACTCAAGGAGACATTTGGATTGCCGCAGCAGAGTGTATAAAAATCTTGGTTCTCATTTTAATCTATACCCAATCATTCAAAAGCAATTCTAAGTATTATACATTTTATCTTGTCTAAATATCATCATTTGGCAGCCTTGGCTGGCCAACTTGTCCTCCTTTGTGCCGTCACGTACAGGTTTAGAGGCCGGATAAGCTGGAACTCGGGATCGTACTCGACTGCCTCCATACCTTCCCTGGAAAACTCATAGCGGTAGATGAGCTCCGAGAGCAGAATCTTGATTTCAAGCAGCGCAAAGTTGAAGCCAATGCAGCCGCGGGGCCCCGTGGCAAAGGGAATGTAGGCGGCGCGGTGGCGGTTCTTGACCTCTTCCGTGTCCCACCGGTCCGGGTCGAAGCGCATGGGGTCCCGCCACACTTCGGGGTTGGTGTGGATGGCGTAGAGGGCCGGGATGACGGTGCTGTCCTTGGGCAGACGGTAGCCGCCCGGCAGCACCACCTCCTGCTTGGTCGTGCGTCCCGGCTGGAACGACGCATTGTGCAGTCTCTGGGCCTCCTTGATGACCTTGTCGAGGTACGGCAGGCTGTGCGCCAGGTCCGGCGTCCAGGTCGCCTCGTTGCTCACGTCGTAGTTGACCAGCTCCTGCAGCAGCTTGTCCTGGATCTCGGGGTAGGTGACCAGGCAGTAAATCATCCATGACAACATGGACGAGGTGGTTGTGTATCCGGCGGCCGTGACCACCAGCATGTTGGACAGGACGAGTCCCTTGGGGAAACGCTGGCCCGTCTCGTCGACGGCGTGGTTCAAGTAGTCGGCCACACAAGAAGCCTTTAGTGCTGCGTCGTTCAAAGAGAGACCATCCATACCACCGGCACTGGGGGCCTTGGCAATGGCCTCCTCGAGCATACCGTATGTCACTCTCTGCACCTCCTTGAGCTTGGCAGCGTCGCCCCACGGCAGGGCCTTGTACCACTCGCCTCTAGTGGTGACCTTTTTGTTCAGACTGAGGAGGTTGACAATGTTGGAAACCAGCGGGTGGGTGGGGGCGTCGACGCCGTCCATGTGTCCAAAGTCCATGCCCAGGGCAAACTTTCCAATGGTCTGGGAGGCCAGCTTCACCATGTATTGGTACACGTTCCAGGCCTCTCCCCTCGAGTCCATCTCGTCAAAGACCTTGAAACTGCTGCGCACGCAGCTCTGCATGAGTGGTGTGTAGTGGCGGACGGCCTTGGGGCCCATGGCAGGCGGCACAAACTTGTGGGCCAAACGCCAGTTGTCGGTCTCGGTATCGCCCAGGAAAATGGCCGTGTTGTCCTTGATGCCCCGCAGGGGGTGGTTCTCGTTGATGAGCTTGGTGAAGAAGGGGGACTCCATCAGGGCGACCTGGGCCACCTCGGGCGAGTCGGTGAGGTAGGTCGTCTTGCCCATGTTGGTCGTCTTGATGACATGGCCGTACTTGCGGAACAGTCGCCAGTGGTTGCCGAGGTGGTCTGGGAAGATTTCGTAAAAGGATCCGACAATCGGGAGACCCTCTGGGCCCGAGGGAGCAGCAACCGCCGAGCCGTCGATACGGAGACCGACCGGCTCAGAACACGAGAGAACGGCCTCTGTGTCTTCGAGCTCCTTTTTCGAGTCCAAGTGGTGAAAGGTGATGCCTTGAACATATTAGCAATGCGAATATCGGACAAATTGTCTATGGTCAAGGAGGCATTACCTGCAGGCACGGCAACATTGAAAGCCTGACCAACGGCCTTCTTCAAAGTCTCAAGTTTCCATGCTGGTTCTGCTGAAATGTCTTTGGCGGTTGACAGCGAGTCGCCGACGAGGTAGAACTTTTGTGATGACATGTTGATTGGGTATATGGATATTGGAAGTTTGAATGAAATCCCAATTACCCGCTTTCTGATTGAAGACGAAAGATCAGATATATAGTCTGCGACTTTACAGAACAAGGACAAATGGGTCCTTGGGCTCGCCTCACGGAACCTGGCATTGCTTTGCCCGATTAGATACAGCTTAGCAGCAATTCGCGACGTTCCACTATAACCTGGAGCAATGTTCGGTCAACGAGTGGAGTTTTGTGCTTCGCGCGAACCTCGCGCGAGTTATATCCGACGCATACAGCTCCATAATCGAGCCTCACTGACAGGGGTTGACGTTGTTGCAACCAACGACTTTGTAATTCCTACCGAGCAAGTGGCTGCAAATGGAAAGAGCCTTATATCTATAAACAGATTTCTCGATCTTAAATTTCGATCGTTTCTCATCTGCGGCGTCGATTGTAGATTGTCAACAAACCCAGTGGCCTCTTACTTCTACAACGAAGCGAAACTCACCTGTCTTGCACCGATACTTCATCTCTCAACACCAAGAATTTCACATACATCAGCTATGCCGACAATCTCCCTAGCTCAGGTGGCTGAACATAACAAGCCGGACGATGTCTGGTTCGTCGTTCACAACAAGGTCTACGATGTGACCAAGTACCTCGAAGAGCACCCTGGTGGTAGTGTCATTCTGCAAGAGGTGGCCGGAAAAGATGCGACACAGGAATTCGAAGACGTTGGACACTCTGATGAAGCCAATGAACATCTTGAAGGTCTATACATTGGTGACCTGCCGGAAGAGGTTCGAATTTCCCTTCTCCAAGCTTATGTCCCCAGGCACAACCAAGCTAACCCACCTTTCTAGGAACTTGCCGAGGAAGTCGAAGTATACCGTCCCACATTCGAGCAGGTATCACAAGAGACCGATATTGTATCGACGCGCAAGTCTGGAGGTGCCCTCGCGACAGTTGGAAAGCTTGGAATCACAGGAGCTCTTGGTGCCGCCGCTTGGGTAGCACTCCAGAAAAGGGCACCGCACATTGACTGGACTCCTATCCTCCGTCAGATTCAGTTCTCTGCACCAAAGTCGAATGGGAACATGTGGGTGGGCATCGCAGTAGCGACTGCTGTGCAAGCGTCGGCGTCGCTTGGACTTGTCGCCTACCTCTGGTCCAAGATGGACATTCACAGCGGTCTCTCTCGCTTCAAGCCGCGCCGGGCCGCGCGCCCCGACAGATACGTCGTGGTCCGCCGCAAGCCTGCAGGCTCTGCAGCAATCACACCCTCTCGGGCCGTGTCGAATGTGCTGGACGCCAAGCAGTACCGCCCCTTTAAGCTCGTGCGCAAGACACTCGTCGCCCCCGGCGTGTACCGCCTCATATTTGCCCTGCCGTACCCCGACGCCGTCCTCGGCCTGCCTACCGGACAGCACATTGCCCTCCAGGCCACCATCAATGGCAAGAACGTCTCGAGGTCGTACACGCCCATCTCAAACAATAGCGACCTCGGGCGTATCGAGCTTCTGATCAAGGTGTATGCCCAGGGTCTCATGACCCAGCACTTGGCCCACATGAAGATTGGCGAGACCATTGATATTAGAGGTCCCAAGGGCTCGATGCAGTACTCGACCGCCTACGCCAAGCGGATAGGCATGATTGCCGGTGGTTCGGGAATCACTCCCAGTAAGTTTGCCTCTACAAGACACGAAAGGGACGTACGAGACCAGAGTGCTAAGATTATTTTCTTTCTGCAGTGTACCAGCTCATCCGCGCCATCTGCGAAGACGAGTCCGACACGACCCAGATCGACCTGCTCTACGCCAACAACACCGAGGAGGACATCCTGATGCGAGAGGAGCTCGAGGGCTTTGCGGCGCAGTGCCCCGACAAGTTCAAGATCCAGTACGTGCTGGCGCGGCCACCCTCGGAGTGGCAGGGCGAGTCGGGCTTTGTCAGCAAGGACATGATTGAAAAGTACCTGCCCAAGGCCGACCCAGACTCCAAGGTGCTGCTCTGCGGACCCCCGCCCATGATTGAGGCTACCAAGAAGAACCTCGCCGCTCTTGGCTTTGCTGCCCCTGGCGCCATCTCCAAGGCCGTGGACCAGGTCTTCCTGTTCTAATCTGGTGTTGCAAAGATTGACTTGAAAGGCATTGGGCGTAAATGGGAGAAGGGAAAATTCTTGTATGATTTAGGAAGTCGGGTCGGAGGTTCTTCATGTCATTAGACTTTGATCTATTTTGTTTCATATATCTAATGACAAAGTGTTGCCAGTTCAACCAATTCCCATGCATTTTCCTTCTGTGGATGCTAGAAGCAGGACTGTAATGACACTGGTGAAAGGTGAGGGAAGACACTTTACGCGACGACCATTTCTTCATTATTCTGGATGATATTCTTCTTGTATTCCACGAAACACCATCGTCGCGATGACAGCAACTCTAGACCGGTGACATCTGTAGTCAAATGATCATAAACGCGGAGGACCAAACCAAGGCTTTCTCGCCATCCACGACTTGGGCAATCTGGCGTTTCATGCGCAAAGTGCTAAAACCCTTTTACGTAAATGATGCGAAATAAAAACTCGCAAACGATAAGGTATGGGGACCAAAAACCGCGAAATGATTTACAAGCGAGAAGCTCCACCAGAGAGAAGAATCCTAGACTCCCATCACTCCAGAGAGATCGCCAATCGCTACACACTATGACCTCAGATTGAGAAGAAGAATGCTTGTTTTACTCCAAGGCGGGAAGAGCCGCTTAATGCTAGCTGCTAACTACTAGTTAGCCCCAAGGATTTAGAAGCTTCAGAGAAGAAGCGAAGAAGAGAACAAAATCCCCACAGTAACAGATCTCGGTGCTTTGGGGGGGGGGGGGGGGGGGGGGG